TACTTGAAGTTCATTTTACCATTCCAGTACTCTCAATTTCAAATTCAATCACCTGTACTGGTTTTCATTCTCTCATCACTTGGAGTTGCTCAGTAGCTCAGCGATTTCTTAAGAAAAAAAAAAAAAGGTGCATGAAGTAGAATTGGAAACAGAATTTTAGTTCCTTTTATTAAGGGAAAAAATGGCTTTAGAATGACTATTCTCCTCTTTTGAATTTAGGGTTTAATACATAAGAATAAGGTCTAGACCCTCCAACCAGAAATATATTAAATGCTTTCATAGTTAAGTTACTTTGTCTCAAAGTGTTGAAAGACTTGCATTTCTGTGGAAAGATAAAAACGAAGTTTCACAATCAGACCTGGGTGCTTTCCAGCCACTTAACACATCTACTGGGGCCAAGAAACCTGATGCTGATGTACAGCAGACCCAGCAGCTGGTCTCCCTCAGCCGCCTGACCACGACGCACAGCTCACAGCACAAAAGCTCCCTCCAGAGCCTCCTCCTTTTTGTCTTCTGTTCAAATAGCCACCAGAGGCAGAACAGAAGGACAGTGCACAGCATGACGACAGATGGCATGGAGTGAAGAAGGCAAGACTCCATCTACCCATGCTAAAAATGAACGCCCTCCAGACGGTTACGAGGTCCAATACAGGGAGGCGGCGGTTCCCTTAGTCAAATCTCATCTTCTCCAAATCAGGTTGTCGGATGAATACCGTGATTTGCATGGTAACACACACAGGATTATTTTTAATTTTCTACAAAATATTACACCATGTAATTTGCAACTTGAATCAGCCCTCTTTAGAAAGGTTTGTTGCTACCTAATCAGACATTCCACACAATGGCAAACTTCCTGTAGCGTTCCACTTTGATGCAGAGTTCATACTTAGCACTTGACTCCTCCCCACGTATCTTGATTTAATTTCGAGTTCATCATGTCAATGAACTCTAGTAATAGCCTCTCTAAGCTCTGACCAATAGACAGCCCATTAAATGGTCCTCATCCAAGTCCCTCTTTTGCAAAGCCCATTGTCAAAGAAAGGGATAAACAAGCTCAAGGAAAAATTGATTCTGGCTCAAGTGAACATTCTCTTGATCCCAAATATCTTACCTTCTTCTAGGACATTCTTGAATTGCTTTCCTGGTTCCTAGTCTTCTGTTGGATCAGTAAATACACCTAAAACACCCCTTTTCTAAATCATTCAAAGTGGGTGAAAAACTAGAATCAGTTATTCAAGTATGCACACAAAACCTCAGATACCACCACTCTACTCATGGTTCTAGGCCAAAAAGAAAGTTGCCCTAAGAAAGATATGAATCTGACCCTCAAAAATCAAACTTCAGATTCTGACTCAGGGGCTAATCAGCGGAAATGGCAAAAGTAGGTAGGGCACTAGGTCAACTTGCAACAATGAACCATTTGATTCCTTCTCTCTTCCAACACATGCAGTTCCTAACTGCTTAGAATCCGAGTGAAGAGCCACTTCGGAGTCCTGCATACAAAGTCTGTGAAAGAGAATCTAGAAACAGTAACAGTCCAACACCTCCAATGGTGTTCTTCAGTTTCAGGGAGGCTTATTTTAAAGATTTATTTATTTATTTGAAAGTCAGAGATACACAGAAAGAGAAGGAGAGGCAGAGAGAGAAAGGTCTTCCATCCACTGGTTCACTTCTCAGTTGGCTGCAACAGCCGGAGCTGTGCCGATCCAGGGCCAGGAACCAGGAGCTTCCTCCAAGTCTCCCATGTGGGTACAGGAGCCCAAGGATTTGGACCCTCTTCCACTGCTTTCCCAGGCCATAGCAGAGAGCTGGATCAGAAGAAGAGCAGCAGGGACTTGAACCGGCGCCCATCTGGGATGCTGGCACCACAGGCAGAGAATCAACCTACTGTGCCCCAGCGCCAGCCCCTCAGGGAGGCTTATTTTTACATTTATAAAGTTGTGCCCACTGGCTCTTCATAGGTGCTTTTGGGGAATCACATTCTCAAAACAAACAATTAGAACTCAGTGTCTTGATGAGTGCAACAAGCACTAGGCATGATTTGTAGCAGCACAATAAGCTCAAATTTGCCAAATAAAGCTGGCATTACAAACACAACCGCTCTGCCACACTGCACTGTAAACCCAATGAATGCAACACTTACCCTGTGACCAAAATTCTTATGAAACAGTTCTCCAACATTCTCCCTATATTCATTCAAGACCTAGTGAAGTTTTGTCTGACAGCAGACAACCCTGAAGTGTTACCAATGATAACTGTGTTTATTATTTTAAATATTTACTTGTCCCTACCCTTAACTTTTTTAAGCCATGGGTTTTCAATCAGGAGTGTATATTAGACTTGTCTACAAAATTTAATAAAAACACGGATTTATTACAGACTTGAATGATCTTTTTACTTGGTATTCTTGATATATTCTTTTAGGATTGTATCATATACTGAGGATTTCTCCCTCTCCCCATAAAAACAATATTCCCATCTTTATCAAGTCACAATATTCCTGGACTTCCTTGAAAATAGGTTTCGTCATTATCCTGCCTCATTTTTGGAGAATGATTTTAAATCTTCTTCCTTTTTTGCATGTCACATTATGCCTTATCCTGAACACTCATGAGACCTTTCACATTTTAAAATTGAGTAGCAGATTAATCACAGACATTTCAGTCTCTGTCATCTATAGATACTGTTTTCCTTAAATGGTTGCCTGAGATTTTATTCAGGTTTAGGCCAGGTTCTACATCTTCAACAAAGAGGACTCCCCAGGGCATCATGGTAAAGGACTAGATACCTTAAGTAAGTGACACTCAAAGAGCAAACCCTGGGGTTCAGGCATTTGATGACACCAGTGGGTTGAGCCGGGATTTGCAAAACTTCAGTGGAGACGGAGATGGTTTTATGACACCACTAACCCAAGATCAAAGGAACAAGAATTAATTACAAAGACTAAATGGACAAATAAAGGATATTTTATTGTATTTGTATAATATACTGTTGTGTTAATATTCTATTTTCTGATTATGTAAGAAGTCCCTTCTCTTTCTAACTCAACTGTCTGTAACCCATAAGAATTTAGTAGACACTGCTTATGTAACCTTAAATGAAACATTTTAAAATGATATCTTTCTCTGATTGTCATAGTTCTGAAACTCAAGTGTCCTTACACTTGTAGGGGACAATAGGTATTTACATACATTCAATGATCATCTTCCTCCCTTCTAACTGGGATCTAACTGGGGAAAATGCATTCTACATCTAAAATCTTGCCTGGAATGTTGTATTTTGAGAAGCAAGCTCACTGAATCAGATAGGGCAGCCCACCTAAATTCCACTGGGCGTTTCAGCTGAAGTCTGAGATTCCAAAACTGTTTTATGAGTAAAGATTTTACACACATCTCTCTCTCTCCTGAAAATCTTTCTGTGTATAAGCAATATGCTGGGATTTACCTGTCCCATTAGCACCCTATGACTGCATCAGAAGGAAGAGGGTAGGCTAAGGAGAGATGGATGGTCACCCTTGAGGCCACAATGTCACAGGTGACCACTGGTAGGGACATTCGAGATCAGAGCCTCCCGAGGATCAGCAGGAGTCTTCCAGGAGCCCTTTAGGGACCTTTGCCACCCCAGGAAGCTCTTCCTATCGCACCCGCGCTGGAGAACAACTAGCAAATAGTCAGGGGCTCAAGCTTAACATGATGCAAGTTGTACCTCATGTTCTTTCTCGCTAATGAGTTACACTCAGCTGAAGATCATCATAACAGTTTCAGGAATGCAAAGGGTATTTTCACCTCACTGCAAAATTAACTGACTCTATAAGAGGTCACGATGCCAAGGAAGAAGGGAAATAAAGTCACAAGGCAAAATACACAATCCCGAGTTCAAATCAACTTCCCAAAGTTGTTCTCATAAGAAGACCAAGTGTTGCCCATTTGCCAAATAGAACGGGACTTAGAGGTTTCACATAATTAACCTATTACACTCAGAGTCTCCCACTTGATTTTTAAAGTTTGTATCTAAATGCTAACAAAAAAACAAAGTTAACAGTATGAAACATCCATGTCCCAAAAGCTATGTTAGGTGAATTAAAATAAAAACTCAATGTTGGGAATACTGACCTCATACAAAGATCAGTATAAATTATATTCATCTAATATTTTCTAAAAGCACCATAAGTTATACAAGGGGTTTTAAGATTTAAGGAAATACATTTTTACTATACTCCTATACAAGCAAACTTTTTTAAATTTAAAAAATGTTAATTTAGAGCAGAAACTTCAAACACTCAAATAATTGATAAATTTCTTTTTTTCATTGTTTATGAAAGTGGTGGGGGGGGGGTCTTCAATCCACTGTTCATTCTCCAAATGCCCACAACAGCTAAGGGCTAAACAACGCTGAGCTCAATCTGGGTTTCCCATGTGGGTGGCAGGGACCCACGTACTTGAGTCATCACGTGGGGCCCACCAGGTTGCATTAGCAGGAAGCTAGATCAGAAGCAGAGTAACCTTGACTCAAACAGGCACTCTGATATGGGATGCAGGAATCCCAAAGGGTGCCTCTAACCTCTGTGCAAAATGTTCACCCCTCATTCAAATGCTGCCCGCCCCCCGAACCAGATATTGCACACGCATAAAAATACAGATACACAGTTAGTGTTTATTCAAGCCGGTTAAACTGTAGCCCACGAAGAATGGTTCCGTGTAAACGGAGACTTTGGATCTTGCTGAGCAGATTCCCCAAATTTGGGGCAAGATTTACACTGTCCTGGATGAAGACAGTTTCTTTCCCACCTCCCACCCAAAGCAGCAGAGCTGTTCCTTTAAATCAAAGTCTACCACTTAAAAAATACCTGTTTGAATGCGCACTACATTACTGTCCTGCCATAGCACACAACTTTTAACCTGTAAGAGTCCCAGGCCGGCGGTGTAGGCATCACACTAAACGTCCTCCAGCAAAACATGCGACTGAAATATCTGAACACCGCTCAGGCTCGGAGACCTCACCTGACTTTCTCCGTGGCTCCTCCCACTCTCTCCCTTCAGGATGGATTTAGGCTTCCGGGACTTGAAGTTGCCCATGCCGGGTCGCAAAACGCCGTCGAGAAGCAGGGCCTGCTCTATACGCTGCTGGGCCTCACGCAGGGGCGGCACGTGCTCCTCTACGCGTGCCTCGGCGTCGGGGTAATTCTCCTTATTGTTTTCATCTCTGCAGCAGGAAAGACTAAGTAAGAAGACACGCCCCCCACGGCCCACCGCCCCGCCCCTCCCCCCCCCCCCCCCAAAAAAAAGCAACAGCCGCTGTATGTTCAGGGCATCTAGCAACATTTTTGGCACACATTATTTTCCAGAAACAAGAACCTAAGAAATGGGCCCTTCACTCTTTATATCAAAGGCCTGCCCTTTGTGGGACCAATGTCGTAGCAGACGTCGGCAGCAGATCCTGTAGTGCATTAGGAGTGGCTGCTTCCCAGTGTTGCTTCTCCCTCCTGCTCCCTTACCAGAAGCACACAGAAACACAAACGAGCCCAGCACAGTCAGCTGGGATGTCGTTCCTTGCTGCTCAAGGACATAGCAAGCCAAGAGGCATCACCCGCAAAGGAGGGGCTACCCTGTTCACTGGTCAAGACAACATTTAACAATTAGAAGCAAAATTACGTTCACTAATGAATCTCACTGGGGAATGCGATTCAGTTACTCTCTGGGAAAATACCAAAGCAAGCATCAGTTTAGGAGGTCTGGAGTGTGACTTGGGCATAGCTGGGCAAGAGGTGACAAAACTATGTCAAACAGCTCAATGTAAGTCTCAGGGCAAACTTAGGGCTGACTCCTAAGAAGAATCTGATAAAACTACAAGTAAAATAATTCTTCAGTGTTAGAAACTGAAAAAGTAAATCAATGCTACTGATAATGGTAATAGTCTTCCCTTGAACTCAGTGACAAATTTAAACTTTTTTCTAAGTCACAAACAGATTTATTAATATCAAACCATGATTTGGAAGCCAAACTATTTATTGGAAGTGTACTTCTTTGAGCATACACAAGTTATACTCATCTGCTTTATGTTCCTGCATGAAAAACCAAAGGCAAAACAGCTGCCTCTAGTTACCTTCAGGGTCTTCGTTCAAGTAGGACCTCAGAACATTCACGAATGGAGGAGAGGCAGGAGTTTTCCAAATATAAAATTCTTAACAGACTTGTTCCCAAATCAATACCTGAATTTTGTTTTTATATCATGTTTTCACTGTGGCCCAGATTTTATAAACATTTTATAAATGGTTCTGTCCTTCACTTGGAAGGCAGGGCAAAGGAGGAGGCAGCCAAACAGCACCCTCCCCCATTATACAAATGTAAAACCTGCCTAGGGAAGTCATCCTCAAAAATGTCTTTCTAAAACAGTGCTGCTTCCACAGGCTCCCCCAAACCGAGAAGCACAGGCTTAGGCCACCATTTACTGGAAGAAAATCGTGAGAATACGCATGCTATCCTGAAAAGTGTCTCAAAGATCTCCCAACTTATTAGTTGTGTAGCCTGGGCTACACCACTTCCTCCACAGTCCTCATCTACAAAACGGATATAATCTCTACTTTGCAGATATTTTACAGACTATGTGAATTATCCATCATGGAAAACTAGCCAAGTGAAAGTTATTGTTACTCTCTGGCACAAGTGGTTACTTCCAAATTAAAACCAGGGTCCTTTTTAGTTTCTGCAATATCTCCAGGACAAATTCCAAACCCCTTAGCGTGGCACACAAACCTTCTGAAATCCAGACTTTGTTTATCACTAGCACTTCCCTGCTCATCACCCCTTGAGTTTACCCCTACTTGGCTCTCGGTTCCCACCATCCTGAACTGTGACTGTTTCCTTCAATTCAAACTATTTTGTCTACCTTCTGTTGACTTTCCAGTAAGTTGCTTTATGGCATCACCATTTTGTTGGCCATAGATCTCATCAGAAAAAAAAAATTTGTGTCATGACTATGTGTAGTTGTCTTCAAAAATCCATCTCAGAAACCTCTCTGGGTTATTTGGTGCTTTAAGAGCATCCTCTGTTTACCATAATAGCACTAATGCCCCATAGCATCAACATTTACATTCTTGCCTGTCTCCTCCAGCAGACTGAATTCCCAATTCAAATTTTAACTGGTTTCTGGCACAGGAAATAATCTTTCAAGAAATGTGTGTTACCAAACATGGACTTGATGATCAGACAAACCTCACTCCAAATTCCGCCTCCTAGGGGGTGCTATGCTATTCTGGAGGAACTTCCCTCTCTCTGAGCCTCAGTTGTGTCACCTCCAGTGTGAGAAGCTAAACATCAGCATCCTTACTGCTTAAATAATAAAATATGCATGAGACTTTGGGACAAAGTAAATGTACAGGAATGGTTAACTGTGAAGGTCTTGCCTCCCTACCACAAACCTTTTAATATCCTACACCATACTCCAGCCACTCAATAACATGTTTGGTGAATAATCTAGAACCTCATCAACAAGTCACATGACAGAAACACTGAAATAGGCTAATCAATGTTTGATGTAATAGGCATTTGTTGACATTCTCCATATATAAGAAGTTGTCCTAGGTACTGACAGGGATATCCATAAGTGGACAAAACTTCCCTCAAGAGCTTAAAATCTGGTAGAAGAGATGATACACAAGAACAAATCATTAGAAGAGAAAAGAACAGAATTCAAGGATGAGCCCCCCGACCCAGATGGCTTCTGTCTTTCACAAATAAGAACCAAGCAAATGTGGGCCATACCTGAGGCTGGAGCAATCAGTGTGCTCTTCATGTAGAGAGACTGTGTCTTCTTCACACCTGTAGAGAGGAAACAGAAAACATATCATATGCAGCTGCCTGCCATAGCATTGCAACAATAACCTAGAATTATCTCGAGATGAGTGTGGGAAACTAAAAAGACAAAACAATCCACACTGCTCTCTCCAAAACCAGCTCTGATTCCCATCATGCCTGCCAGGTCATGGTATTGGTGCCATCATATTATGTGAGCTTAAAAGCTCAGAACCAGCTATGACTCTCCTTCTTTGCTTCTACTCCTCTGCATCACCTCAGCTAACAATGTCGTAGCAGGGCCCAAGAACTCACAGCGTTGGAGGGGAATCAGGCATTAAGGTTGGTAGATTGTTGTTGGCTCAACCGTGATTCCACTACCTGTCACCTTGCATTCTCTCTGCTTCAGGCAGTCCCACACTACATCAGCTTACTGACAGTCAAAAATATCCCAACCTACATCCAATGGCTTATTCCTTTGGCCTTGGCCTTCCTTGACCTTGTTAAAAGGAAAGGATTACTTTTTACTAAATTTCTCGGTTAACCTTATGAAGAAGTCTTGGTTCGTCCATATTGAAACCTCTCCAGGAATCTACACCATTCTCTCACTCTCGTGCAGAAGGGAGCCTTTGTTCCTGTTCTCAGCCGTCCACACCCTGCCTCACCCTAGCCTGCAATGCTTTTTACATCTTGAATTCCTACTCATCCTTCACTGCCTAAGTCAGGTCCCACCAGCTCCATGAAACTTCCCTGCCAAATTCATTCACATGCCATATTCCTACTTTACCCTTAATGCATAAAAATTTACTCTTCATTCTGGGGTTTTGGTAATCAACTATATCTTGTCTCAAACTGCTCTGTAATCCTTCATACATCTGAGACCTTTTTATTTAGTAACTAATTCCATGAATAAAAACTACTGTAATTTCCATGTCAAGATGCACTACTGCAATGCTGTACTGTACACTGCTATCCTAGAGCAGACACTCAATTTGAAACATTAACTCTGTTTTTTTCACCAGGCTGAATAATTTAGCAAGCACTTACTAAGTATTTATTGAACTGAAATAATTTAACAAGCATTTATTGAGCATTTATTGCCTCCCAAGTACTACATTAAGCTTTGGAGCTGTGCTTCTCAAACTGACCAGTAAGGACAAATACTCTGATTAAAATGTCACATAAATATCAGATTCCTGTTAAGGTTTTTTTTTTAAAGATTTATTTATTTGAAGGCAGGGATGGGAAAAGAAAGAGATCTTCATCCTCTGGTTCACTCCCCAAATGACTGCAACAGCCAGGGCTGGGCCAGGCTGAAGCCAGGAACTCCATCCTTATCTTCCACATGGGCCATCATCCACTGCTTTCCCAGGTGCGTTAGCAGAGAGCTAGGTAAGAAACAGAGCAACCAGGACTTGAACCAGCACTCCAATATGGGATGCTGGTGTTGCAAGTGGTGGCATAACATTGCCACAATGCTGGCCAACTGTTAAAGTTATTAAATGCTTACTCCCTAGTTCTCTTCTTGTCTCAGGCAAGTTACAAACAATTTAGAGACCCACACTTTGAGTAGCACTAATTCTAAAGGACACTAATTTTACAAAGATCTGTACTTTGAGAAATTCACAATGTAATGAGTAAACAAAAATAAATAAGCAAATAAATACCTATATGCAGAAATAAAATCATAATATGACATTTATACTCTAGGAAATAACTTAGGATTTTAAAACATTCCTCCCTGATAATGTTGTATAATAAATTCACAGAAGGAATGGCTGAACAGCTAGGGCTGGGCTAGGGGGAAGCCAGGAGCCAGAAGATTCATCCAGGTCTCCCATGTGGATTCAGAGATCCAAGGACTTGGGTCACCATCCAATGCTTTTCCCAGGCTATTAGCAGGGAGCCATATCAGAAGTGGAGCAGCTGGGAGTTGAACCCATATGATATGCTAGCATCCCAGGCAGCAGCTTTACCTGCTATGCCACAATGTCAGCCCCAGAATTTCTTTTTAAATTATTGTTTTGTAGTGAATTAAACAAAAGCTACATACAGACCCTAACACTCTCCACATGATGAAATATTTTGTTCCCTGTGGCAATTAAAAAACAAATTGGTGGACTTAATGTTTCTTTTAACAGCATGAACAAAATTTCCTTGCGTCTCATGTTTTCAGCTGCCAGTAGTCCACTCTGTCCATCTCATGGAGAGCAATGATTAAATTCATAAGTATCACCTTGTTCTCTTCCATTAGCCATATTTACCTGATAGATCCACCTGGGCTTATTAATATGACTAAAGATGTTTTCCAATAGCAAAGTAGAAAAATCAATGAAGAACAGAAATGTAGAATCATTGCTTCCAAAGAACAAGGTCTTAACTAGATCTTCGACCCTGGAGTTCAACAATACCTATTGTTTGGGGATTTGGCAGGAACTTTATTTTTTCTCCCCTCATTAGATTCATTAATCTTTCTCCTATAAGACTAATCAGTTAAAAATAGAGACTTGGCACCAGAGCATACAGAACTGCAGATACATTCCAATGTGTGAGGCTGGACCTAATTAATTGATCCAATTTTCATGTCTACTGAACAACCGTATTTGCAACTCAAGGAAACACAATTCTAAGCTTACAGACACAGCAATTGAAATAGGTCTCCTAACTGGCTTAGATGGTACAAACATATACAAGTCCTAGTTCAGCTAAGTGTCATCTGCTTTGATAGGACCATCTATTCTACTAACACTGGACTCCACAGTCGGAACCCATATCCAGATATCCCCGCTGTTAGAAGAAAATCACTTCAGAGCAAGTAGCCAACTGACCTGGGGTGTAGCATGCTGTTCCTACAGAGAGTCCTATACCAGACTTTTAAGACCAATCATTTTAATGGTCTCTCTCTTAGATGTTCAAAATTGGTCATCTTCTATTGCAGTATTTTTCAAACTGTACACTGTGACCTATTATTAAGTCTTGAAATTAGATACTAGTTACAAGTATGATTTTGATAGTGTTAGAGAAAGTAGAAAACAGCAGCAGAATAAGAGTTAATTATTTCATGGAACTGATTTAAATTGCATATGTGTGTGCACTAGACTGCGATATAGAATGTTTTTCTTATGGCTGTTTATAGTTTTTTAAAAGTGAAAGAAACCTCTATTAAACATGTTCCTCTGTAGTTTTTATCAACTAGAATCTTTTCAACTAAAATCTTTTTTTTTTTAATTTATTTGCGAGTCAGAGTTATATGGGGGGTGGAGAGAGAGAGAGAGAGAGAGAGAGAGGGGCCTTCCATCCACTGTTTCATTCCCCAAATGGTGGAAACAGCCAGGGCTGGGCCAGGCTGAGTTCAGGAGCCAGAAGCTTCTTCTGAGTCTCCTGCGTAAGGTGCAGGGGCCCAACTCTTGGGCCACTTTCCACTGCTTTCCCAGGTAGGTTCCTGTGGGGAGCAACTGGGAGCAACTCGGACTAGACTGAGTTACTGGAATTGAGACTTATTCTATGCATCTGCTTTCCCACAATATGGCGCTGAGAAGGGAAACAGCTTCTACACAGCTGCCTCCAGTTCAACCAATAAACTGCAGGACCTGCTCCTGATTGGAGGAGAGCGGCGTACTCGGCGTGTGGGCAGCCGAGTTAGGATTGGCGGAGGAGGACTATAAAGGAGGAGAGAGACAACGTGCACCAGGAACATCTAAGGGGAACACCTGTGCAGCCCCCGAGAGAGCCGGCCGGCGGTGTGCCGCTCCCCTGCGGAAGTGGGGAAAGTGGCCAGGGGGAACCGCCCTTCCACGGAGGTGGAAGGGATGGCAGCCAACCCGGGAAGAACCAGCAGCAAACCCGGGGAGGGCCGAGCAGACGAAAGAACAGCGCAGGGTCCTGTGTCGTTCCTCCATGAAGAGGGGGAGCGACAGGCTCCCAGGGAACTAGATCAGATGTGGAGTAGCTGGGACTCCAACTCGCATCCATATGGGATGCTGACATCAAGGTAGCTTTACCCGCTATACCACAACACAGAACCCAAGTCTTACAGTTCTTAATATATGCTTGCCCCAAACAAGAAATGGATAATTTGTCTTTTAATCATCTCTTTGTGAACTGTTTAGAGGTTTTTTTTTTTTTTCCTATTTGGTCTTTTATACCCTCCAGCAACCACAAATAAAAAGTTTTACAACATCTCACAGCTCACCTGTTTGTTTGTTTATTTATTTATTTTAGACTTATTTATCCATTTGAATGGCAGAATTTGAGAGAGAGAAGGAAACACAGAGAAAGATCTTCCATCTTCTGGCTCACTTTCCAAATGGTCAAAATGGCTAGGGGTGGGCCGGGCTGAAGCCAGAAGCCAGAAGCCAGGAGCTTATTCTAAGTCTCCCATGTGGGTGCAGGGACCCAAGCACTTGGGCCATCTTCCACTGCTTTCCCAGGCAGGTTAGCAGGGAGCTGCATTGGAAGTGCAGCAGCCGGGTCTTGAACCAATGCCCATGTGGGATGCAGGCACTACAGACTGTGGATTAACTACACCACAGTGCCTGCCCCGGCTCACCTGCTCTTGCACATGATCTCAATTCAGCCTGACAATGTTGTGTGGTAGAAATTACCTTCATACAGAGGCTAAGATATTACATAAATTCTCAGTCCTAAAGCTGTGAGGCCTGGGTTGTTTCTGTTCCACTACACAAGGCCCTGAGACTATTCCTAAGAGGGTGAGAATGCCATTTTTTGAAGAGTGGTGGTGGGAGAAATGCCCATTAGAAAATCTTTTTCTGACTAAGAAGGCTGTGGAATGGCTGTGGAATGAAATGTAGTCATTCTACAAAGGGATTTTCCATTCACCCTGTCAGATCATGCTCGCTGTGGGAAAAGTTGTAGAAGTACAGCTTCCCATGGTATCTCTCCAAAAGCAGCCCCATTGGCTGGCACCACGCCTCAATAGGCTAATCCTCCGCCTGCGGTGCCGGCACCCTGGGTTCTAGTCCCGGTCAGGGCGCTGGATTCTGTCCCGGTTGCTCCTCTTCCAGGCCAGCTCTCTGCTGTGGCCTGGGAAGGCAATGGAGGATGGCCCAAGTGCTTGGTCCCTGTACCCCATGGGAGACCAGGAAGAAGCACCTGGCTCCTGCCTTCCGATCAGCAGAGTGCGCCAGCCGCAGCGGCCATTAAAGGGTGAACCAATGGTAAAGGAAGACCTTTCTCTCTGTCTCTCTCTCTCACACTGTCCACTCTGCCTGTCAAAAAATAAAATAAATAAATAAATAAAAAGTGGCCCCAGTACCACTGGCATGACCTCCACTTAGAATACCTGACTGAGATAGCAGACTCCAGTCCTACAAACTCTCAGAGGGCAGGGCCCAGCCATGTGAATGCTTAAACCAGATTGCCCACTTACCTTCAATTCTAGTATTATTTTAACTAAATGTTCAATACTGACCTAAAGATTTCTAAAACTCAACTTGGCTGACCACAACACAATCACCTCTTCTGGGTTCCCACTTTGAGATGAAGTACGGGAGAATGTGCTTTTCACAAGTCCAAGTCTTTTCTCCAGCTGGTACTGATGATCAGTTGGTTTTGAGAACTTCTGCTTTGCTGATAACCAATCAGAATTATTACAAGGCAGGCTTCATTTCCAACAGCAAGTTAGCCAGGGCCACAAGGGAAATAGTCATGGCAAGATAAATGAAAAAGTGCATCAGATAGAGAGAAGAAAAGGTCAAGGCCTTTCTGATGTTGAAATTGGGTATGGGGGGAAGAACTGCTATATTCCTAAAGCCATACCTGTGCAATTTGTATTCATTAAGTAAAAGCTTTATATGAAGGAGAAGGAGGAGGAGAAGAGGAGGAGGAAGAAGAGGAAGAAAAGGAGGAGGAGGAGGAGAAATCGAGTTGGTGCAGAGCAGCACAGACAGGGCCTTTCCTGGGCAAAGCCAAGAAGAGACTAAAATGTGTCCCTGAATCCTTCACAATTCCACTTCCTGTTGACTCTTAAGACCCTCAGTTGGCCCAGTGCAACCCTGTCAGAATGGAATACGTGATGAAGCAGTCCCTATAAAAGTGCTACTGACAACTTGAATCTACCTCCCAGGAGTGCAGACTTTTACACCTCCATTTTAAGAAGGTTCACTACTAGCACACTTAATCCAAAAGATGTTATCTCTAGGTGGAATGTCGGACACGAAAGAAAATAAGTGGGTGTGAGTAGGAGGAAGTGGGAGTGTGGTGGGCCCAGGAGGAAGAGGAACTTTTCTGATATCCAGAACATGTAAGACAGAAAAACATCTCCTCCGTGTAGTCTAAGCCCATACCCAGACGTTGACTAAGTCCCTGATACGTCTCTGTCTCTGGATAAGGGACCCTGGTCCTACTGCTGTGGGGTCATGCCCTAGAGAACCAAGGAGCATGGTTCAGATTACTGAGGGAGAATTTCAAGTTAGCCAATGATTGGTTTTAAGTGACCCCAATCTGTGCAGTGTTCCACCTTGCATGCTTTCAATATGCTCCTTAGATTTTTATATTAGCCAGATGGCATCCCAATTATCACTTACAGCCTTTTAAAATAAATCACTATCACTTCTCTGAAAGTAACAACATGATCTTATGCAATCCAAACTTCTTGGGGAGTGTCCAAAAACAAGATACCACATTCTCTCCAGCATTTAACCATAAAACCTTTACCAAAAAAACAAAAAGCTATGTGTCATCTGGAACTAAGTGTCTCCATTTTAAGCTGCTATGCCTGTAACTGTCTCTGGGTACTTAGCAAAACAGGGCTCCTGACAATCAGGCCAAGTGAGCTCTTGGTGTTTGTAAGCAGAGCAAAAGGAGAAGAGCAGTACCTATGCACCTGAGTCAGGACGTCAAGGCCTCACGTTTGGCCTGGAGATTTGGGCACACATCTCTCCACTTCTCTCAGGCTTTTAAAAAAGCAAAGTTGCAGCACAGGTTACCAAGCAATTAATGGCTGCAGGTCCAAATGAGTATTTCATACCACCTCAGCTGGAATCAACCCTAGTGTTTGCTTTTAAGCAGCTCCTCTTAGGTGAGCTCAGTGCTAGACACCAAGACAGCAGCAACCCAAACAGAGCAACAAAAGAAATGGGAAACAAGAGGGTGTGAGAGCACTAGAGAGACCTGCTCTTCCGTCACCAAGGCATTGAGACAGTAGTAGGACTGGGAGATCTAGTGATACCCATTTCTTTATTTATTCGCTGTTTTAGAGAACTTCAGCAAACAGCTCCCAAGTTAGTTGTGCTTCCTCTATCAACCTTGCAACATTTGCTTTTAAATGTAGTTGATTATACAACTGTACACATGCCTTTTCCCTGAACAGTTGTTTAGAGGGACTTTTGCCAAAGGTCCCGGAAGTAAACATAAACATCATGAATTCGCCTAGAGGAAGATGACATATATGTACTTCACACACACATATATATATATAATACAAACTACACATTAAATATAGTATTAGCAAAATATACTACCTTTTACTTCTTAAGTTATATAGTAAAATATTAGGAAAACATTGAAGAAGGGACAAGAATGAAAACTATGAACCTTAACTATCTAACAGAACAAATACGGTGCCTGCTGGCCTTGAGAACAGCACACTCCTTCATTTGATCTTTTAATGGTGTCAGTTGCCCTAATCTACAGCTTTAACCATAGGACCAGATGACTCATTCCTCCTATAGCCAGATCTCTGTGCCTAGAAGCCAAGAATGACAAAGGGCATGCGAGAAAAGTTTACTCTCCTGTGTCTTAATCTGTAGAAGAGAGAGAGAGCAAGGATAAGTTTAGCCTGTTTCATCCGCATGCTGGAATTAAACTCAAGTCATTTCACATCCATCTCCTATTTGCAGTTAATGTATACAACGTGCACTCCACGAGCATTGACACCAATGTTGGCAAAAAAGCAACAAAGCTTCCTTTCTGACATGCCAAATAGATCTTTCTCAATATCTGAGCTCCAAGAACACCTATCTCGGAGCACTGAGCTCCCACAAGCAATCAGCTGCTTTTCATCTCTCTCCTGCAGCTGCTAAAACGCTGATTTCAACCTGCAAAGATTTCTGGGCCCCATCAGTCAGCACGTCTCGCGCCGTGTTCACAGCCCGATTACGGGAGACAATGCATCTAATAGGAAGAGCTGCTGGAGACGGTGGAAGATACCTTCACGCTAGTTGCTTCCGCAGAAAAGGCATGCAAGTCTAATTTTAATGGCAAGAATCACTTACTCTGTTACAGCGGTGCTGCTGAAGGAATTATCCTGAAGGCTGAAACAGAAACAAGAAAACATCAGCCAAGTCTGGCCGGGGAGCCGTCTCCCTGATTGCTCTCCGGGAGTTAGAGCGCATACACAAACATGGCATTGCAAGGCAAGTCTCAGGGCTCGCCCGGCACGCTCTACCTTGGGCTGCTGTCTGCACATGCTCGTAACGACACCCCCAGCAGGGGCCCAGCTGCACAGGCGAACCACAAAGCCCGGCAGCCCGCGAGGGTGCGGGGACCGAGCTGGGCGGGGCGCGGCGGCGGCTCGACCGAGACCCCGGCTGGCAGCGAGGGGCACCTGGAGAGTTCCCGCGCGCCCCCAGCCTAGCCAGCCTTCGCTGCACGGCTCTCTGGGCCAGCCACCCCCACCCCGGGGCCGGCCGGCGACGTCCTCCTGTTTCTGCCTAGGTGCTGAAATACCCCGGAGACCTGCTTTCCTCCAGACGTCTTCTACCAGTCTGACTGAGCTACCCCCCCTCCACTCCCAATCCCCAGGGCTGGAGGCTCGCCGAGAAGCATCCATCCTTCAGAAAAAGCCGAGGGGGAGGGGGACTTCGCTGCCGGGATTTTGCTTGGTTTTTATTGTGTGTGTTCTTTTCATTGCTTAGGAGAAGAGCCGTTAAGAAGGACTGGGGCATCACTCCCGATCTGTCTGCCCCGTTATCTCAGACCCACAGAGGAAGCGCCCAGCCCGGGAGGACAGAGCTGTGAATGAGCCCACACAGGGCAAGTGGAGCATTTATTTATTACAGGCATTAGCTGGTGACTAGGGCACTTGAAAGGGGGTGGGGCTTGCTCCGCCCCAGCCGCCCGCCTGAGCTGCACCCTCACAAAGGGTGGAGAGACAGAATGGACAAACACCACCCCCTGGAAGGAAGGTAGCCATGCTGGAGGAGGGGAAAGCTGCCAGCCCCTAGTGGCTTCATGCCCCTGGGGATGTGTGTCCTGCCCTCTTTCCGTGGCTCCTTTCTCTGGTCACGTTGACCTTGATATGGAATGAACAGTCATCTGTGAAAGATGCTTATTTGAATTTTGAAGTAAGGTTCACCCCCCCCCCCTTTTTTAATGTCTCCACTCCCAGAAGCAACTGAGATGGTGGCTTTTAGTGCAAAGTACACAAGGTGATGAGTTAATTTAAGACCGAAACCGCCAAAAATGTATTTTTAAATTTTTAAATGTTTTTTTAAATTTCTAAATTTCAAACTTAGAAATGCGGGGTTGGGGAGGTAGGGAAGCATGATCTATCAGTGCCATACTAAGTGTCATACTGTTTAATAGGTCCACCCAAAGGCTAGGAGATTATCCTTGTGCTTGACTTAGCTAAGCACAGTGGATTAGATCTTACCCATGTCGAGTTACATGGTAACTTGCACGTTTACGCACTCTGTCCAGAGGACAAAGATACCTCAGCATTCCCGGTTATACTGTATTGTGGAATGCTAACCAGTTTTGCATCTAACCAAACTAACATACCGCCTAAGTGCCTGTAAATACCTGGATCCTCAAAATGCTCTTGGAACCAGACTCACCAGCTTACAGTTTCCCTCTTATAAATGAGAGGGAATGGACGCGCCTGTATTGATTATCATACCTTTAATTTTTATATTCATATTTGAGAAATCCAAATTGAGTTTCAAAGTAAAACATTTCAGTTTCTTTGCAATTTTATTTTCTCCAAATATTATTTAAATCAACTGAATAAAAGCTTAATGAGTTCTTTATTAGCTCTTTGTTACTACAATGAAATACCTGAGAATACTAACTAAATAAGGAGAAACATGTTTTTAGCTCATACTTTGGGAGGTTCAAATCCAAGACCAGGTGATTCTGATTAGGGTGGCTATGGTAGAGTAGGGAGTGGAAGGTGGAAGGGCCACACAGTGAGCCGGGAAGCAGAGACAAGCTGGGTCCCAATCAGGTTTTATAACCAACCCTCCCTTTAGAAGTACCTGCTGAGGGCACATCCACTAAACACAGGAACTGTGGTAAGTTTCTATCCTCTTCTTACCATCAACTTAAGATCTCAGGGTTTAAACATCTGCCTGCCTTCAGGATCCAAATCTTGTTCAAACCATAACGTGATCTTAGACTTAATTCTATGGGCTAACAGAAGTTTAGAAATACTAAGCCCTTGAACATATGGATATGCAGTACTTATATGTTTCTAAACATACACTGGGTAGGTTTGAGGGTTTGAGACATGGACCTCTATACTGTGTTCATTGTTTAGCCACCACAGATTGAGGTTTGCTTTTCTGTTTATTGAGACTGCTCAAACTCAGTCCATATTCAACCCTTAGTTCCACAGATCTGAAGGTTGTCAGTTTGCACAGACCCATTTTACTCGCTGGGTCTGGTAATGAATCCCGGTATTCCAGTCAAGGAGCACACTTGTCTCAAGTGAATGTTCCCACTGGTCATTTGCAAAAGGGAAGTGCAATGCTTTCAATATTCAAACAGGATTTAGACAAATACATGAAATCATATGGGCCCTTTGAAAATAAAATGAAATAACACATGTGTTCAATAAAAGCCACTACTCAAGAATGTCCACAGAAAAGAAATAAGAATTCTCAGCAACTCAATAGCAAGGGCCAAAACTGTTCTAGGTGGTGTACATCTGATGAAAGCAATCAGTTGATACAGTTGATTATAGTTAACAACCAAGAATATCCCAGAAAAATTCCCTTATTTGGTAAGGTGTAAGAAAGTCAACGATTTTAACTTTTACATCCTAAGATATTTGTTTTTATCTTAAATTAGGTTTATAAATTGTATTTATTAATGGTTTTTCAAGTATCTTTTTTTATTTTTGTACTCTTCAACTTAGAATAGGACAATACTGATAAATATCACACAGCAACTCAAGTACAGTTCAAAAAGAGAAGCAGAAAAATTAATATTGGTGTCCACGAAGAAGTAAATCTAGACCAGTATTTCCCAAAAGGGCAGTGAAAATCTAGTCTCTCAAATCATCTAGAAAAAAAGTTATAAAAATACATCATGGAAAATACATTTTTGAAAAGTTACAAATTTTAAATTCACAATGCACATTAGATAGTAAAGTATTCCTGTCTTTAATCAAAGTTTCTCAGTCTGAAGAACAATTTTTTTGCCCTTAAATATATCATCAATTAGCACCCTATGTAACTGAATTTTGAGAGAAGAGTTCCTGAGTACCTTAGGAAAAGATATTCAACAGAGATCAACTGACATAGTTCTTTATTGAACAAATGAATGAGTGAACAAATGATGCCTAATCATTATCATTGTCCTATAGTTACTAATAAGACAGTCTCCGCCAGCAGTATATACACAAAATATATCATATATATATATATTATATGCAAAACTATTTTAAACTCTAAGTAGAACAAATGAAGATGCTAGATTTGAATATGGTTAATTTACATGCATGTTAAAAGCTTCAATGTTTAGCTTTTTCTCTCAGTGCTCTTAAAACCAATATCTGACTTTCAAATTGAATACTAATAGTTTCTTTACAATAATAACAAATTTTTTGTATTCTAATGTGTTGGTTTGCCTGTATGTAAAGTTTAAAACAAGAGAATAGTCAAAAAGAAATTTCCAGAATTGCCAGAATTTAAACCCATTGTTTGCTGGTAGTATAAACTTGGATAGACTCTACATTTCCATATTCTCATCTGCAAAATGGACATCATGATGATGTACCTCATGTTCATCTTACAAAGATTAATGCATGCCTTCCAAATAAACAAACACTAGTTTTATCATTATATTCATTATTAGTAACACTATATATAAATAAGAGTATGTAAACGTGAAGTCAGAAGATGAAAAAATAAAACAAACTGCTCCGCTTTGTAGTAGGCTTGCAGGTGACATTTCCTTCCTCCTCTTCTATCGGCACAGTGCTTACATCACTTTCTCTTTGCTTACAGAAGAGTAAAATTCAGAAGTTTGCTGAATGCGAATGGGCTGCTCTGGCTGAAATGAGCTCCTTCCAGGATGGCTCTGTGCTCACTTCACAACTCCTCATCTTAAAACACATGAACATCCCTGGAGAAACAGACAATTCTGAGAAATCACTTTCTGCCAGAAGCTGGGGCAAGGAGCCAGAATCCTTACAATGCCAGGAAGTCAACACCGACTTGCTCTATTGGCCTGGACACAGTGACTTGTCGCTTCCTGCCAGTACCCTTGGGAATGACCAGTCTTGCCTCTGGAAGAGAGGACTCTTGTCTGAAAAGATAATTTTCCATAAAAAAGAAAATCCTCCCTGAATCCCTGCCCTCTAGTCCCTTCCTTTGCTAGCCACAGTATCTCACTCCACAGCAAGGGCCTCATGAGCTGAGTGGCCTATACCTGAGCTCTTGAAGAGTCAAAAGTGCCCTAGATGGGTGGCGGTGGGAGTTCACCCAGTCGGTGAGATGCCTGCACCCCGTATCTCAGTGTCCCCCACGTCTGAGTGCCCGGGTTCAAGTCCCAATTCTAGATTCCTGCTATTGCAGATCCTGGGAGGCAGGAGCGATGATTGAAGTAACTGGATTCCTGCCAGCCATGTGGGAGATGTGGGAGACGTGCTCTGAGTTCCTGGCTGCCGCCTGCAGCCTGGCCCAGCTCCAACCACTGCAGGCATTTGGGGAGGTGAACCAGCAGATGGGAGCTTGCTTCTGCCCGTCTGTCTCTCAAAGAAAGAATTATTTTAATGAGGATTCTAAGTTTATATTTAAAAAGGTGGTAGTAAGACAGACTTGATACCAAAAATAATACTGGGGACAGATTGTTTAGAGTATTGGCATCCAGTGGTGTACATTGAGTCTACCTTTGTCTGACATTCTCTGATTAATGATAAAAAGAAGATACAATGTAAATTGAATATTAAGTGACATTTTGATTGTCAAAGATTCAGGATCTCACGAGGTCAACAAAAGTGATGGTGGAGAACAGCTTGAACCGCATTCAAAACCAGTGACCAGCGAGGTCTTGGTAGTATCAACCAAAGAACAAAAACCAGAAAGGATAGTGACGTGTCAATTTCAAAGGGAATGAGTCAAGTATCAAAGGATTTAAAGTGGTCCTTAAAAAAAATATATGAAGCCCTTAATTTGGTAAATGCTACCATTTTATAATTATGCTGTGTCAAATATGAGGTGAAGTTGGTAATTTTGAGCTATTAATTTTTTTCAGAAATGTTATATATCAGTAAAACTCCTCTAATGGGCAAGCCTTAATCTTTGCTGTTTCTGAGAATAATTTCACTATATTATATACAGAATATAAAACAAAAATGT